TATAACAATTGCTTTAATATTATTAGTAACAGAAAGGCAAACTTTATAATACTTTCTCATTTGCCGTCAGCATTCAGCAAATACGCATTTATATAATTTAAACAAATCTTTGAATGACTAATGAACATTTAATTTCACAAACCTTGCAGACTTAGTCGAATCTAGTTGAGATCTTGTGAAGTGTGCATGTGACCTGCATGATCGCGTGTTCTGTGACGGTCGGTCCTATGGTCCGTGCGAATTGAATACGGACAGGAGGAGAGTTCTGCTTGACTGGAAACGAGCGATCGACAAATTTTAAACTAGTAATTTCAAATTATGCTGCGCTTTATGCATTTGCCCACTGTCATATTCGTGTCATTTTCATTGCGTGCTGTATGTAAAATGAGAGTTCCCTTGGCTTTATTTGAAAAAAATAAATAAATAAATGATTCCCAATGCACATAAACTTCCCAGAATACTGAGTGCCCTGTTGGTTACAGTGTTTACTTCCTTTTTAATTGACGGTCGGTCCTATGGTCCGTGCGAATTGAATACGGACAGGAGGAGAGTTCTGCTTGACTGGAAACGAGCGATCGACAAATTTTAAACTAGTAATTTCAAATTATGCTGCGCTTTATGCATTTGCCCACTGTCATATTCGTGTCATTTTCATTGCGTGCTGTATGTAAAATGAGAGTTCCTTTGGCTTTATTTGAAAAAAATAAATAAATAAATGATTCCCAATGCACACAAACTTCCCAGAATACTGAGTGCCCTGTTGGTTACAGTGTTTACTTCCTTTTTAATTAGATTTTTTTATTAAATATTTATTTATTTGTGAAAATTCTTTGTATTCTAAAGTATAAGTATGTTTATTTTACACAATTATTTTTAATCCATTTTGAAATTATTTCTAATTTCTTAAATATAAATTAAAATAAATACAATTATATCGGCCATCGGCCACCCTGCTTTCCAAGATATCGGCATCGGCTGTCAAAAAACCCATGTCGGTCAACCACCAATATAAACTGAAAAATAGTTTATAAATCTGCGTTCAGTAAAAGATAAGCTTTTAATCTCCCAGAAGTTTTCAACCAAAATAAAAGCTTGCTGTTAATATTTTAATTTAGAAATTTAGACAGCCTTTGTACATTTGTACTGTAACATACACCATTTATTATATAATTGTTTAAATAAGCTTTTTTTTTTATTTTACTGTGAAACATTATTACAAAAGTAATATTTATTATTTTGCTTCATATTTTTACCTTGTAGATTATAATAATCATGATAAAAATAATCATAATTATTATTATTTTATAGTCATATATAATTACATTTTAAAATAAAGCTAAAATAAAATTGTGCTACAAACATTTACAACAAACCTGGAGCTCTTTATTTAAAAAAAAACGGCATTTTACATTTCAATCACAAAGTATATCAAAATAATAATAAAAAAAGTTTTTAAAATATATTTATAACAATAAAAGCACATATGTATTTATTTCCCCAAATCATGCAGCCTTAAAGGTACAGTTCTCCAAAAAATGAAAATGTTTTCATCATTTACTCACTTACTTCAAGTTGTTCCAGTATGATTTTCTTCTAGTTGAATGCAAAAGAGGTTATTTTGAAGAATGTGTGTAACCGAACGGTTGCTGGTCCCCATTGACTTCAATAGTATGGGGAAAAAAAAGAACTATGGAAGTCGATGGCTACCATCAACTGTTTGGTTAGCAACATTCTTCATAATATCTTCTTATGTGTTCAGCAGAAGAAAAATAACTTCATACAGGTTTGCAACAACTTGAGGTTTTTCATTTTTGGGTGAACTATCCCTTTAAAATCAAGCCAAATGCACAGCGTATGTTTCAAGCCTTAGAGTTGTTGTTGTGGATTTAAAGCAGCTTATTGACAGCCTCTTTGTGAAGACAGAAACAATGCACTAAAGACATCACATGATAAAACAGACCTTATTTTGTTCGAAATGTTGCATGCTGGTGTGTTGGAGGGTCTGTTTTCCCCTTCTGTGGTCTGAAGGAAGCCCTCAGGGTGGGACGCGGAGCGCTCCTCTTCGGGGAGACCCGATACGGTGTCCTCAGAGGAGACGATGGACGCCTCGCTCTCCTTCCCACCATTGGCACTGATCTGGTCGTGGCTCAAGGCCACAGAGCTGGACACATCCTCAGAGATGCTGTCATCTGTGGACATGCTTAAACAGTCGTGGACAGAGAACGTGTGTGAGCGCTGTTTTAAAAAATAAACAGAGTATAACGGGATCAACATCAAACCAACAAATATTTCATAAAAGTAAACACTTACTAACTAGGGCTCAAACCTGCATCATTCCAATTACCAACTCAAATATTTAACCAATAAGCCAACTATCCAAGAAAATAAATTCAATAGTTACGTTCAGAATTATTTACCTATGCATATGTTTGAGCTCATATTAAATTGCAAAAAAAACATGGGTAATTATTAAAAATAATAGAAATGGTAACCTATTTGTTCTTATACATTCAAAAATATTTGAACCTAAAGTCATGATGCTGAGAAAACATGCATCAAAAAAATACTTAAGTGAAATTTGTTATTTGCAATTAAATGAAAATGTGTTATAGTTTACATTTATATTAAATGCAATTAGTTTACTTTAGAAAGCTTTTTAACATACTTAGGTAGGACTTACGTACATCCTTATATGTAATTTCATAATTGCTAATATTGTCTTTGAAATATGGTTAAAGTGTACTGCTGAACGTACTGACAAGTATTTATTGGTAACCTTAAATTTGTCATTTTTCATGTCATTTTGACACTTGTCACATATTTAAATCTATTTGTAATTACAAATTTGTAATAATTAAGTTGGAATTACACGCTACAGTCAAAATTATAATCAACTACTATGCATGTTAGTCAACACATCAAAATAAATCAAAAAGACAAAAGATTATTAAAACACTATGATTTAAAAGGTAAAACTTTAATATGACAATATTGCAAAGTGTGCTTAAGTGTGTTCAGAAACAGTCATGAGTGCCTCTCTTTAAGTGCACTTAAGTGGCCTTTTATTTCATTAATATATAATCTGCAAGTACAGTTTTTAGAAATATACTTTTAAGATTTGAAGTACATTACAAGTGCACATTCACTCAGTACAATTAAGCACACTTCTTACAAGGGTTTTTACTATTTATTTCACATTAATACACATAATCACATAACACAAGCAGGAGATGAAATCTACAGAATCAGGAGTTTGAGCTACATTACAATGATGTTATAAAGGATAATTATCAAAACTTAAACTAAGAAAAGAAGATTAAAGCATATTATCCTTTTTTTTAATGACCAGCTAAGGCATAAACAAAGACCCAGCTGTCAGACTGTCAGGACATCATGGGCACATCTGGTAAATTCCTTGTTTACATGCAGTCGGACAACAACAGATATATTCACACAACAAATGCCATTCATTGCTATGAACTTGGATGGAGATCAACAGCAAGTTATAAGAGCCGATAAAGCCAGAAGCACTCACATTTAATCGTCAGATCAGTAAACAACGCAAAGCTAATCTGGCGACCTACAAACCCAGCCGGTGGTGTGTTTTATCGCATAGTTATTTAATAGATGTCAAGCAGGCTCATAGATGTGAACATGCAGCAAAACACAGACTCGCTATGGCGCTTCCTCACACACACACACACACACGCACGCACACACACACACACACACACACACACCACACACACACAGCACGCATCACCTCTGCAGCTGCATCCCCTCGCTCCAAACACAAGCGCTGACACATTTACCATGACAATAACCCCCAAGTACCGCTTCACTTACTTGTTACTTTTTATCATCACTTGTTCTCCCATTTTGACACTGTCTCTTTCTCTTCATCTGACTGACTGCTCCTCGCTCAACCTTCTAACGTTCTAACCGACGACGACACACTGCGCCGCGAAACGCCATTGGTCGATTGAGTTCGAAAGGCGTCACTTGATTGGCCAGCACAAATAGTCAACGTCACTTTGGGCTCTGTGATTGGCTCCTTCACAGGATTCTGCGCATTTTAAGGGCACAACAGAGGTTCTGATTGGTTCTCTTTTGTGTAAGCCCGCCGCTTATCGGCTTGTGTGCTCCGAAGAAATACTTTGGAAAAAATAAAACATAAATAATAATAATAATAATAATAATAACAAAAGGAAATGCTTAGGTTGTATTTCAGTCAATAAAAAAAAAAATAAGAATTTATTTTCCTTAAAGAAAATTGAGCTTTTGTGGAACAAATTTATTATTAAGTATTTTATATATTTTACCCAAAATTTAATGAACATAATGTGAAATAAATAAATAACTAAACAATATAGAAATATTATATTTTTTGTATTATTTTCTTTTGTACTAATACAATAAAATAACTGCATTATTGTGGTATTTTTTTTTTTTTTATTTCCTGAAAAACTTGAGAATAATTCGAATTAAAAAAAAAAAAACATTTAACATTAGTGCTTTAATTTACAATTAAACAAAAGTGCTTGATTGTAATGAAAATATTTTCACAATTTCCTATGGATCTAAAATCTTCTTAAAATTATCATTTTTATAAAATATAACTCATTTTTTTAATTGTCATTATTTTACTTCCGGATAAACAATTCACAAGGCAATAAGTAATTTACAAAAGTCAATTAGTTCATTTGCAATTATAAACTATATTATGGCATTATTTTAATTTTAAAACATGCAAAGCTATTATTACACAGTATAGCCTTAAATAATAAACATGGTGACCATTGTTTCATAATAAATAAATATGGTTTCTTCTTCAAAAATATAGAAATCTTTTTCTTTTGATGTACAGTATGTATTTTATTTTGGTTCCCAGTTTTATTGTACTAACAACTGTAGTAAGTCTGATATTTTAGTGGAAAATATTCTTACTGTGGTAAATTTATGTAAGGTTAGCAATATTGCGAAACAATAAACAAAAGTGGTTCATACACAATGAATGTCATATTTATTGACAGATATACAAAATTCCAAAGAGTGACCTTTTTTGTCTTTACATGAAAATACATTGTATTACACAAGGTAATAAATACAGTTAAAGACGAAAGTAATGGCATCACTAGAATACTTTTCAGTATCTCCCCGAATAAAAGAAAACTCACCTATCCATTAGTGCGTCCAAAGAAAAAATACTTTACCTTATCCTGAGACCTATTTCTAAAAGCACAAACCTAGTCTAACCTGTAAAAGCCATGCAGATTCTACTGTGGGACCTTTCATCCGGTTGCATGCATTTTTGCTTATTTGTTCTTAAAGATACTATGTGGTCAAAGAAAATGAAATGTATAAAAAAAAACTCAGATGGCAACAGTTCCGGATCTCTTGCATTTATAAATCAGAAGACATATTCTCTGAATGGTGCCTTATTCCCTCCAAACCGCAGATGAAAAGCGCAACTCCTTTTTTTGATTGTTTTATCCCCTCAAAGGAGAGGCATGCATGACTCCCGTGTGACAGTTCTTTCAGCCGTATGGAGAGAACGCAGGAGGCGGCGCTAGGATCTGGCGTTTCTCTCTGTCTCTGCCAGACACTCCCGAACAAGCCCTCTGGCATGAATGATACCTACAGCACACACAGAAAATGACAGAAATCAGTTTCCAAGACGCATTATTTGAGCTTAATATGAGTACATTTGATAACAAAAAATTATATAAGTAGATTTATATATTTTGTCTTTGATCATGTCCACAAACCTCTTTTAAGTCGCTCCATGGCGCTTTTACTCCCTGCATATGTTGGCCTTATTTCTTTCCCAAGTTCTTCAATGATGGCGAAAAAAAAAAATGAGTACATTTATTTTTCCAGTTTACATGTTAAAGTCACAATATGTAAGATTTTTTAATTAAAATATCCAAAAACCACTAGAACAGTGTTATATATTTTGCTGACTTGTGTACTTACATTATCCCAAATGTTTCGAAGAATGTTTAAATCCAGAGAAATAAGCAATTTTAACTAGTGACTAGTGAAATAGTGTCATTGTGTCGCCTGCCAATGACATCATAGCCCCTCGATTTCCGAAAACATGGAAACAGCAAAGACGCTTTAATATGTTGTGCGTTTTAATAGACCGGTGACGACCGCACAGAGTAGCATTATAACAGAACTTTCAAATGTATCTAGTATGATAAAACAGCGCTGCTTTACCCCACATACGCACGACCGGAAGGAGCAGAAGCGGTCGACTGTGGCATAATAAAAGCTCCGCTGCTTTCGAGCCGTGTGTCACGTTCGTTCAGCGGCCTCGTTTCGCTTTGACAGCTTTCAGCCTCACCCTGCTTCATTCTACTACGTTAATAAATCATTAGCTCATCCATGAACATGATTTCTGCCCGAGTCCCGTCGGATTGCATCGGCTGTGGGGATGAAGACCACAACTCCCATGATTCCACACTCAGTCACGCCGTCATCAAACTACGCCTTTGTCTATTTGTTTATTTTGAATATGCGCCCTCTAGCGGCGAAAACTTACATATTGTGCCTTTAATATTTTTGTAATTTTGTTGTGTTTTGTCATATTTACTAGTTTTTAGTATAAATATGACAGTATTTTAGTTATTAATATATTGTCATATTTATTAGTTCAATGTCTATAGTTTTTGTTTTAGTTATTTTAGTATATCAAGTTCATTTATACTTTATTTTCGGTTTCCTTTTCATTTTAAAGTTTTAGTAATTTTATTGTTTTTGTCATTTTTATTAGTTTGTTTTTTTAATATGTAATTTTTATTTTATTTTTTGTTATTTCAGTACATCAAGTTTGATATTTTATTTTTTATTTTAGTACATCAACTAAATGAATACAGTTTTATTAATATTTTGAACTTGAATTAGTTTTTGCTTTTTATTAGTATTTTATAATATGTCTACATTGCTTTTTGTTTTAGTTATTGTCAAATTAAAACTAAATAAATATAGTTTGTATTAATATTTTGAATTCATTTTTACTTTAATAGAGTTTTAGTAATTTTGTTGTTTGTTTTAATGTTTTCACTTTAATATTTTTTTTTATTTTTTGGTGCAATTTTCTTTTTGATATATCTACATAGTTTTTTTATGTCAGGTTTAGTTTTTGTTATTTTAGTACATCAAGTTAAACTAAATAAAAATGAGAAAGGTTGCCTTGGCAACAAGCTGAAATTAAATACATGAAAGGTATTTTTTTATTTTTAAGTTGTTGTTTTTTTTGTTTTTTTTTTAAGTGTTAGTTAACTATAATAACATGAAACCTACCTGTGGGAATCCCAACGAAGGCGGCCCAAAGTCATTTAGAAATGGCTTGTATGACTGTATCGTTGCCATTGAAGACGGAGAGGGAATGTTTCCTGTTAAAGCAACAATACACATCCTTAACTGTGTGATACAACAACTTATGATTTACGCAAATACATTATTTCAAGACAGACGTGCATTTGTGCAACTGATCTTTTGTCTCAAAGTCTCAGTTACCCTTGTGACAACTAGCCCCGGCCTTCGTTCTATGCAATACCACCCTCCGCCACTAGGTATCCCCAAAGAGCAATAAAACGGCACGTCTGAATCCAATCAATCAACAGCCCAAGAGACAATCATGGAGGAAACGGCACGGGCTTGATCTTAGCCGCTAAAAGGATTCATTTTTATCACAATCTAGCGGCCTCCACGCAAACCCATCCGGCCACGGCGCGACGCGGACCCTTCGGGAAGAACCCGAACATGTACCTCACGCCGATATTTAGCCCTAGCGAAGGCGAGGAATGCGTTTTTTTCACTAGTAATAATGGCGGATGTGAAGGATCTGACCCTGTAGCGATCAGACTGGACAAAACTACACACGGCTTTTCCCCAGGTATTCTTTCTCACGCCAATTCTTACATTCGACCAAATACACTCAAGACCAAGAGTTTTCCACGCTTTTTCGGCATACCTTGGTTCCCAGAAGTTCCCGGAAGGTGCTGATGGAGATTGGGTTTGTAAGACATACCTGAAGAGATAATAAATGAGAGAAATAAAATTGTCCCTAAAATCAGCGGAGCGTCCGTCTCAGACACTTTTTGTTTACAGCGGAGCACCGGCAAATATGGCCGCGTCACTCCTCATGACACCCACACTGCTGTCCATCATCATCACAAAGAACTCGGACAATTAACACAGAATTAATGAAAAAAAATAACCAGCGTTGTCTATCATCACAGTGACAACTGGAGAAGTTACAAAATCATTAATAATAATAATAAAAAATACTGCTCGTTAACACGAAGATTTAAACCTTTTGAATAGGTTTTACTTGTAAGATTTTTTTTTGCCAGTTTCAATAAAAATACACTTTTACTTTTAAAAAAATGGGGGGAAATGAAAAGGATTTTTTTTTTTTTGGCAATGAAATATGATCATAGATTAATTTAAACCTTTTGAATAGGTTTTACTTGTAGATTTTTTTTTTGCCAGTTTCAATAAAAATACACTTTAAAAAAAAATGGGGGGAAATGAAAAGGATTTATTTTTTTTTTTGGCAATGAAATATGATCATAGATAAAATTTTAAATGATCCCCTAAGATCTAACCTTTGCAATTTAAGAACTAAATACTTGAATCAAGCGGGATGATCAGATTCCAAAAGAATTTAACTGAGAACAAATCTTGTTTAATTAGATTTAAAGTGGATTATTATTTAAAAAATTTTTACATTATGTATACTGAAATAAACGTGTTATTTTACATGCACTCATCCGACTTTCAGAACTACATTTATACATTTTCTTTCTAAATGCAACCGGATAATGAAAATAACCGATTTCAGGTTTACCTACTACAGTTTCCTTCTCGTTCATTCCTCACCACGCTGAAAAATAAAGTTGAATACACATTATGAATGCAAAAAAGAAGTGGTTCCCCTAAAGTAAAGACATTTTGAAATCGAGGTAATCCACAAGATTTATTGGTCATATGCAAGAGGTAGAGTTCTTGCAGTCAGTTCCATTTTTCCATAGATTCTTTGTACAACAGATCAGTAGTGCAACTCGTGCAAGGATGAATGAAATTGTCTTTAGAGTGCTGCGGCATCTACAATTCAGCAAAAACATGACATTTCAGAAATGCAACTATACTTCGAGATATAGTAGAGACCGAGCGTGTGTCAAACTCACACATTTACAGCAGAAATGAGGTTTTTGTCCCCAATAACACGAGTGACAGCAAATCATTAAAAGCAATAAATAGAAAAACTGAGCAAAAGCACTGACTGATGTGGCCTTCTGTAGAGGACACTCCAGTTTACAAATCGCACTCGAACTGAAACGCTGGAAAGCAGCGAAAACCTGCTGACCCGCTTCCGTAAACTAAACAAAATCCAAAGTGTTCGTCAAACCATGCATCATCTCAGATCCAGTCTTTTGGGTTGGGTTTGCACCGCTTACACCCGTCATGTTCCTGCTTTCAAATCAGGGACTGTATTAAGTGGTAAACAAGCAGCATCATGCCCAAGACATGCTGGGTCAGAAAGCTGAAGGTGGGGACAGATGGAGGCCAGGCGAGACGAGAAAAAGAAATGGAAAAAGAAACTAGATTGTGAGTAACCCCTGAGCACTGTCCTGTGTACATAGTAGTGTGTGTGACTTCATAATGCCACTCATGTCGATGGAAAGCACAGGCCATGATTTAGCAGGCTGGAGGTTGCGAAAAGGAAACGGCCTGACCAAGTATCATCCAGTTTCGCCCCTCTCAGTGCAGTTTCCTGACACGCAGAGCTCTGATTCTGTAGCTCCTTTGGCAATGAGTCCTCTTTGGACATGAACCCTGAAATATTAAATACGACACAAGCACCGTCTTCCTCGCGGCGTGCCTGAAGAGTGGCTGGCTGGCTTACGATGCCGCATCTGCCCTAAAGCGAGGGGTGTTTGTGTCACGCTATGTGTTGACGGTGTGGCTGATGCTCTGCGGATGGAGTTGCTGCCACATTTGCTGCTGCTGCACGGCCAGCTGCTGAGACTGATCCGATGACGACAGGATGTTGATCAGCGGTGACACGCAGTTGGCGGGAATGATCAGACCTGAGAAGAAAAAAAGAAAACTGGGTGAAAAAATCGAACTTTTTTTAGGGTCCTATGAAATCCGTTTTGTTTTTTGGCCCATGTTCCTTCCGTTTTATTTTATTTTTTTCTGTTTGGTTGGTTAAATTCAATTTCACGAGCACTGAAGCAAGCATGGGCTGAAACGTGTGCTCTTTGGTCTGTTTTTAAGACACTTTGCACTTTTGTCACTTTAGCACTTTTGTATATGAAAAATAAAAGACATTTTTGATAGACCTTTTTTGGCCTGATTGCATTTTTCCAGTGTGCGGACAACTTTGGCTACCTCGTTGATTATACTTTGTTTTACCCACCTGAGAACTTATTGGCTCTTTCTTTTTTTTTTTAAATGCACAATTTCTGCTTGATTGATTAAATTACATTTTAGTAATCAAAAAGCATGTCTAATTAATTGAAATGACAATTTCACTTTTAAAAGTTTAACAAAAATTTGATACTTAGAGCTAAATGAAATAAGTTTTTTTTTTCCCCCAATGTCTTTAGTTTTTCTGGATTGTTTATTTTCCCCATTTGAATTTTTCTGAACTGTTTTAATGGTCAAATTTGAATAAGCAAAAACCATGTTTAAGCTATTGAAACTATGAAACTTCTACAATTTCTACAACTTTTAAGTTGAATAAAAATGACATTTTTAGGGCCTTATGGAATGTTTTTTTTTTTCTGGATTCCATTTTAATGGTTTAATTAAATTGTAATGAACAGAAAACATGTATAATCAACTGAAACTTAATTTATTGTTTTTACATTAATAGGGACCTATGAAATTATTTTTTCCCAGAAATTCTGTTGTTTTAATTTTTTTGGATTTATGATTTAATACAAATTTATATAAAGTGCTAATCAAATGAAGGCATAAAACGTTAACAAATGAATGAATTTCTTAAAATTTAAAATCAAATTAAAAATTCCGCACAGCAGTTTACAGTTAAAATTAAAACATGTAGTAGTTAGTAAGTTTACTATTACTTTGAGAAGTACACTCTACTACTGTACAATAATAATGTATTTGTATCTGTTTGTCAACCTACCCACAATTCTCTGCCCGTCCTCTGTTCTCAAACGTACAATCTGCATCTTCACATTGGTTCCGCTGACTGAGGCCAGCACGCCCTCCACTTTGGTCCACACACTGAGGACAGAGCCACAGAGGACATAGTATGTCCTGCACCGCAGCCCGATCTCACACTGTAGCCCCACCGACACTTTCTTACAGTTCCCTCGCCTGTCAAGAAGAGTGTTTCTCATGACAACATTTTCAGACTTCACAAATCAAAAGTGAAACGGCATGTTTGCTTCCATTTTCCCTTCTGAAATTACTCAAAAGAAGCACGTACCAGTACGCGTGCGAGCAGACGTTAGCCGAGGAGTTGTACTGATCAATCCAGTGCTGCTTGGCATCATCAGTAAAAGAAGCACGTACCAGTATGCGTGCGAGCAGACGTTAGCCGAGGAGTTGTACTGATCAATCCAGTGCTGCTTGGCATCATCAGAGAGGACCTATTTTGAGATGAGAAGAATTAGAGACTGTACGAGCTGAGGAAATGACATGAAACAGTCTGCAGGATGCCAAAAGAGGCTAAAATTAACATTCGCCAAGCACCAAATGAGAAAGCAAATTTTTGATTTGGGATGTTGACTTATAAGTGGTTTAATCTGCATGACAGCATGACCTTCATTATAGCCATTCAGAAGTTTTCAGAACATTAGACATGCAGCTGGGAAGCCTGAAAGTCATGTGACAAACAATGCTGGTGTTAAAACATTTGAAGATAAAATTTAAGATGTGATCATGACTGTCTGTAATTAGCCCAATGTGCTGCTTGAAAACGGCAGATGTCTCAATCTCAAAGCAACTGACATAAAAAGCATGCTTTGATTTTGGGACATTTTTAAGGTGCTGTTTCACCTTGAGTCTAGCTAGAACAAGCTGTTACAAGTGACACAATAACTAGGGTGTGACCGTATGTCCTCTTTTTCCCGGTCATGTCCTGGCAGAAGATTTCTAAATTGCCTAAAACATTCGTGTTTTAGCTTTGTTTTCTTATTGACGTACCTTCAACAGTCCTCACACATTATGTGTGTGCATATTTGCATTGCTTTGACATTCTCTGTACATCCTGCGTCCTTGCATGCCACGCTTGATCAATTATGTACCATGACTGAGCCCTACTGGTCAACCTACTTTGGTCATATTAGCTTTAACAAGTATGAAAACAATAGGAAACCTAAGCCAAAACATGGACATTTCAGGCAATTTAGAAATCTTGGCCACAGCATGTCAGGTAAAAGAGGACGTATGGTCACCCTATAATAACCAGTGAGATCTGTTGATAAAAATATTGACTGAACTAATGGAAAATACATACAGCTGATTAAAAAAAAAAAGCTCATAGATGGTAAATGTATAATTTGACCCCAATGATGAACCAAAAACGTAAAAATGCAATTAAACTACAGTAATTTAATACCTTTTTACTTCTCTTTTTGATGTCCACATAAGTCTCCAGTTTAACTTGTTTTCCTATATTTGGTCTGTACACCATAAAGAGTCTCTTTCTGGGATTGACCTCCTTTATCAGGATGGCAATTTTCTTGTTATTCCGCACCTTGAGATGAAACAGAATGCAGTTAGGTTCAGTAGTTAAATTAATTGAAAGGTGCATAAACGGGAAACAAAAAGCTTGTTCACCTGTACATAAAAGCCATCATCCGATCCGTTCTGGTCGGCCCAGACGTGGGTGGCATCCTCCCATGACATTCCCCGCTCCACACTCACCTGAAGACAGAAACCATTTTTGCTCATTAGCCAATTGTGACATACATAAACAATAATAATTGCATCACAATAATGCTCATAAACATGGACACCTATTTTACATACCGTATAGAGCTCCACATGCCCTGAGGTGGAATATCCTGGTGTCAAGAATTTCTTTACATCAACTTTCTTCACTTTCTCATCTCCAGAGCCCAAATCTGCAAACAAAACATACATTTAAACTGAAAAA